TTAAGGTGTTTTCACTTTAGGAGCAGCAACATTTTTCATATTTTCTACTTTAAGTATATGATTTGTCACAGTAGCATGGGTATTTGACCTTTTGAACAAAGAGATTAACAACCTACAATAAATCTTTGAAACTAGTTAGCTACTGTACAGGTGAAACTTGAAAAATATTGTGCAAAAGTTAATTTATTTCAGTAATGCAACTTAAAAGGTGAAAAATTAAGATGAGATAGACTCATTACATGCAAAGCAAGATAGTTCAAGCCGTGATTTGTCATAATTGTGATGATTATGGCTTACAGTCATGAAAACCCCAAAATCCACAATCTCAGAAAATTAGAATATTACATGCAATCAATAAAACAAGGATTGTACATAGAACAATATCGGACCTCTGAAAAGTATAAGCATGCATATGTACTCAGTACTTGGTTTGGCCCCTTTTGCAGCAATTACTGCCTCAATGCGGCATGGCATGGAAGCTATCAGCCTGTGGCACTCCTGAGGTGTTATGGCAGACCAGGATGCTACAATAACAGCCTTCAGCTCTTCTGCATTGTTCGGTCTCTCATGTTTCTCATCTTTCTCTTGGTAATGCCCCATAGATTCTCTATGGGGTTCAGGTCAGGTCAGGCGAGTTTGCAGGCCTATCAAGCACAGTAATCCCACGGTCATTGAACCAGGTTTTGGTGCTTTTGGTGGCAGTGTGGGCAGGTGCCAAGTCCTGCTGGAAAATGAAGTCAGCATCCCCATAAAGCTTGTCTGCGGAAGGAAGCATGAAGTGCTCCAAAATCTCCTGGTAGATGGCTGCGTTGACCCTGGACTTAATGAAGCACAGTGGGCCAACACCAGCAGATGACATGGCTCCCCAAATCAACACAGACTGTGGAAACTTCACACTGGACTTCGAGGATCTTGCAGTGTGTGCCTCTCCATTCTTCCTCCATACTCTGGGTCCTTGGTTTCCAAATGAGATGCAAAAGCTGCTCTCATCAGAAAAGAGGACTTTGGACTACTGAGCAACAGAACAGGTCTGTTTTTCTTTAGCCCAGGTAAGACGCTTCTGACGTTGTTTGTTGTTCAGGAGTGGCTTGACAAGAGGAATATGACATTTGAAAGCCCATGTCCAGGATCTGTCTGTGTGTGGTGGCTCTTGATGCACTGACTCCAGCCTCAGTCCACTCCTTGTGAAAGTCCCCAACACTTTTGAATGGCCTTTTCCTGACAATCCTCTCCAGGCTGCGGTCATCCCTGCTGCTTGTGCACCTTTTTCTTCCACACTTTTCCCTTCCACATAACTTTCTATTATTAATGTGCTTTGATACAGCACTTTGGGAACATCCAACTTCTTTTGCAATTACCTTTTGAGTCTTTCCATCCTTATGTAGGGTGTCAATGATGGTTTTCTGCACAACTGTCAGTTCAGCAGTCTTTCCCATGATTGTGATTCTTACTGAACCAGACTGAGAGACCATTTAAAGGCTCAGGAACCCTTTGCAGGTGTTATGGCTTAATTAGCTGATTATAGTGGGACACTTTGAGCCTAGAATATTGCACCTTTTCACAATATTCAAATTTTCTGAGATTGTGGATTTGGGGTTTTCATGAGCTGTAAGCCATAACCATCACAATTATGACAAATCACGGTTGACCTAGCTTACTTTGCATGTAATGAGTCTATCTCATATATTAAGTTGCATTACTGAAATAAATTAACTTTTGCACGATATTCAAATTTTTGGAGTTTCACCTGTATGTGGTTATGCACATACAGAGTCAAACTAAGCGTGATTGCGTTGTATGACTTATTTGCTGTTTATATGTTTAGGAGTCCATAAATGGCTTGTGCATTGACAATTTGGTGCCTTTTGCCTGCAGTACCTACTGCTGAGATGAGCTTTTATTTATATCTAAAAGTCATTATAAAGCACAGTGGTGTCCTCAGTTTTGCTTGCTTTAGAGAATAGAAGAAAAAAATTAAGTGTGGGAAGGAGAGCCCAGTTACATGACGTGCCATGTGACCAAGCTTGCCTCCTTTTACTGAGTGTGCTTACTCCAAAGAACACGGCAGGTGCCATACCACTGGCCTAATGTTACAAAAGTTAGAACACTGAGTGAACTCTGTGGTGTCCTGTGGATAGCGATATCTGCACTTTGCTTTAATAAGGGCCCTTATGTGTGGGTGATTCTAACAGACCAACAGGCATATGCATGGAGAATCTCAGGCAAAATCAATGGGCAACTTAGTTTTACTAGATAAGTGCACCTCTGATATAAAGAAATTGTATCAGTGAAATTCACGTCGCACCCTCCTAGATAGGTGCTGGGATTTGTATAGTTAGGTATACAGTAGCTGTTTCTCTGCTTAACAGAGAGGGCTGTTAGGAAAATCTATTCGGGCTCTCTGCTTAACAGAGGGCTGTGATTGATTAGTCAGGACTGCTCATGGTGCTCTGGTGCTGCTTAGTTTGAGTTCTGCCCACCTTCAGGAAGCTATGAGAGCCTGTCAGAACCTGGGAGGGAACTAGACAAATGAGCAGCATGAATATGGATAATTCCATAACCATGTCCCGGCCAATTGCATGGGAGGGCATGCTGGGAGCGGTATTTACGTTCTGTCAGCACATGGGTTCAGTGTCTGAACAAGCCAAGCTGAAAGCAGGCTTGCCTTGCCTGGCACTGGCTCCATGCAGCCTAAGGTGGGTCGACCTGAGGACCTGAAGCAAGAGAGAGTGACCCTGGTTCTACATTAAGCTGACTGAGGGGAGCTGTCTGCCAAAGCTCTGTCTGGTATCACTGAAGGGTTTCGCTTGGAAGATTGGAGGGAGTCAAACAAAGATTGGAGGGAGGCAACCATTCTGTCCTTGTGAGTACATACATTGAGAAATTTAGGGACTCTGTGTACTTGCTACCTCCCCTGGTGTTTGATAGTCAGTGTGGGTCTGAAAAGGAAAGGGAGCACTGGCTAGTGTTCTAAAGAGCTTGTCCAACTGTTGCTATTGGAAAGGACTTTGCTCGGCTAAGTTACCTACAGCTGCCACAGTCGGTCGTGACTGGCTTATACCTGTAAAGATCAGCTGTCAGGAATGGACTGGCCAGCAATAGTGGGACTCACCTGCCTTATGAGCTGCAGTACCAGGGCTGGCCAGCGGGTGCTCCCAGCAATCAGAGACTCAACCTTGCAGCCAGTCAAACACCTGGAACTAATTATACTGGTGTATTTAAGGGACATTCAGACCTGCAGACTCTGCCATGTGTGTTTTTCTCCTGGGCCCTGTATCCTGTTCCTGCTCCCTGTTTCCTGTCTGATTCTCTGCTGACCCTGCTCTGATCCCTGGCTTGTCTGACCATTCTCCTGCTCCTGATCCCTGGCTTGTCTGACCATTCTCCTCTGCCTGACCCTCTGTACCACGCTGCCCACTACCTGCTGAACCTGGCTTGTGACCCCGACCATTCTCCGCTTGCTCCCCCTGTACCTACCTGCCCGATTGATATTGACCCGGCCTGCCTGACGACGCTTGCATTGTATGTATTGTTATCTGTGGGTGGTTGGTTTGGTTTGTTTGCACTGTGTTATGTTTTAGTATTGCACTGCGTTTATGTTTGTATGGTTAGTGTTAATAAATTACATTGTTTATAACATATCTGAAGTCTGCGTTTCCCTGCGTCAGTCACATACCTCTGTCATACCCGGGAGCCCTGACATTACACCAAGGCCAATCCTGACCAGAAGTGGCTGCACAGGGAAGCCATCTTGGCTTGTTGATGGGAAGGATGGATCTTGATGAGGTTGTGTATTTATATCTGCTAGTGTTTGATGACAGAGAGTATGCTTATCAAACTCTGAAGGAGTATCCCCGGGATGAACTGCTAGAATGTATACGGCTCACTCATATTCTAGTAGATCAGGGCACAGAATTCTTTGAGGTGCAGCCATTGATTCAGATTTGTGCGGAGTTGGTTTCATCTGGTTCCCCCGAATGCAGGGATGAATTTTTGCCGCCATTTAGTGCCGACCAGGTAGAGTCCCTGGTATGGTTATTAGAGGATGATGTGGATTGCTTCTTGGAGCATTATGCTGCATGTTCACCACAGATACTAAGAGATTGTATAAACGCAGTGCAGTCTTTGGTCAGACAGGCTTTGTGTAAGCTCAGCTTTGTTCAACCCATACTGCAGACATGGACAGATTTGTTGCACCCAGCCTCAGTCAGCCTACAAAAACCCAGTCCTGCTTCTAATCTATTTCCTCAAAGCTCTATTCCTGCATTCCCAACAGCTCCTCCTGCCCTGCTATCTACCGCATGTCAGTACCCTGTTCCCACTCGCTGCACCTATCCTGCCTTTAAACCCTGTAAAAAAGCCCTCTGTAGCAACTGCTCCCTCCCCTGTTCCATCCTCCAGCTCTTCTCTGTCTCCAGCTGCTCCATTCGTTTGCAGACCTGCGTTTACTTGCAGTGCTCCAGTAGTTAAAACCAGAAAAAAGCGAAAATTCTTTCCAACCAATACCATCCTGCCAGTATCCAAACCGGTGAACCTGCCTTCCGTGGTTCAGCCTGAAGCCTCTACTCAGCCTGAATCCTCTACTCAGCCTGAATCCTCTACTCAGCCTGATGCCTGTACGCAGCCTGATGCCTCTCTTCAGCCTGATGCCTCTCTTCAGCCTGATGCCTCTACTCAGCCTGATGCCTCTATTCAGCCTGATGCTCTACTCAGCCTGATGCCTCTATTCAGCCTGATGCCTCTATTCAGCCTGATGCCTTTATTCAGCCTGAAGCCTCTACTCATCCTGATGCCTCTACTCAGCCTGAAGCCTCTACTCAGCCTGAAGCCTCTACTCAGCCTGAAGCCTCTACTCAGCCTGATGCCTCTATTCAGCCTGAAGCCTCTACTCAGCCTGATGCCTCTACTCAGCCTGATGCCTCTACTCAGCCTGATGCCTCTACTCAGCCTGATGCCTCTACCCAGCATGATGAACTGATCCAGCCTGACGATCCTATTAGGCCAGTTGACTCGATGCCCGCTGTTGATCCAGATGATCCGGTACCTGATTCGGTGCCCGCTGTCGTGCCAATTGACTCAGAGCCCGCTGTCGTACCTGGTGACTCGGTGCCCACTGCCTTGCCAGATGACGCGGTGCCCGCTGGCGAGCCAAATGACCTGATGCCTGGTGACCCAGTGCCCGCTGTCATACCTGGTGACCCGATGCCCGCTGTCGAGCCAGACAATCTGGTACCTGATGACCCGGTGCCCGCTGTCATGCCAATTGAGTCACAGCCCACTGTCGTGCCTGGTGATTCGGTGCCCGCAGTCTTGCCAGACGACTCGGTGCTCGCTGTTCCGCCAGTTGACTCGATGCCCGCTGTTCCGCCAGGTGACTCGGTGCCCGCAGTCTTGCCAGACGACTCGGTGCCCGCAGTCTTGCCAGACGACTCGGTGCCCGCAGTCTTGCCAGATGACTCGGTGCCCGCTGTTCCGCCAGTTGACTCGATGTCCGCAGTCTTGCCAGACGACTCGGTGCCCGCAGTCTTGCCAGACGACTCGGTGCCCGCAGTCTTGCCAGACGACTCGGTGCCCGCAGTCTTGCCAGACGACTCGGTGCCCACAGTCTTGCCAGACGACTCGAAGCCCGCAGTCTTGCCAGACGACTCGGTGCCCACTGTTCCGCCAGTTGGCTCGATGTCCGCAGTCTTGCCAGACGACTTGGTGCCCGCAGTCTTGCCAGACGACTCGGTGCCCGCAGTCTTGTCAGACGACTCGGTGCCCGCAGTCTTGCCAGACGACTCGGTGCCAGTCTTGCCAGACGACTCGAAGCCCGCTGTTCCGCCAGTTGACTACCTCGATGCCCGCTGTTCCGCCAGTTGACTCGGTGCCCGCAGTCTTGCCAGATGACTCGGTGCCCGCAGTCTTGCCAGACGACTCGGTGCCCGCAGTCTTGCTAGACGACCCGGTGCCCGCAGTCTTGCCAGACGACTCGAAGCCCGCTGTTCCGCCAGTTGACTCGATGCCCGCTGTTCCGCCAGTTGACTCGGTGCCCGCAGTCTTGCCAGATGACTCGGTGCCCGCAGTCCTGCCAGACGACTCGGTGCCCGCAGTCTTGCCAGATGACTCGGTGCCCGCAGTCCTGCCAGACGACTCGGTGCCCGCAGTCTTGCCAGACGACTCGAAGCCCGCAGTCTTGCCAGGCGACTCGAAGCCCGCTGTTCCGCCAGTTGGCTCGGTGCCCGCAGTCTTGCCAGTTGACTCGGTGCCCGCAGTCTTGCCAGTTGACTCGGAGCCCACTGTCGTGCCTGGTGACTCGGTGCCCGCCGCTCCGCCTGGGGGCCCGAGACCTGTCGCTCCGCCTGGGGGTCCGGCGCACCCCGCCGCTCCGCCTGGGGGTCCGGCGCCCGCCGCTCCGCCTGGGGGCCTGAGACCTGTCGCTCCGCCTGGGGGCCCGATGCCTGTCGCCCCGCCTGGGGGCCCGATGCCTGTCGCCCCTCCTGGGGGCCCGATGCCTGTCGCCCCTCCTGGGGGCCCGATGCCTGTCGCCCCTCCTGGGGGCCCGATGCCTGTCGCCCCGCCTGGGGGCCCGATGCCTGTCGCCCCTCCTGGGGGCCGGCGCCCGCCGCTCCGCTTGGGGGCCCGATGCCTGTCGCCCTGCCGGGGGGCCCGGTGCCTGTCTCCCCGCCTGAGGGCCCGATGCCTGTCACCCCGCCTGGGGGCCCGATGCCTGCTGCTCCGCCTGGGGGCCCGATGCCTGCTGCTCCGCCGCCTGGTGGCCCGGTGCCTGCTGCTCCGCCTGGTGGCCCGCTGCCTGCTGCTCTGCCCGGTGGCCCGGTGCCTGCTGCTTCCGTCCGGTGCCTGCTGCTTCGCCTGGTAATCCGATGTGCCTCTGCCCGGAGTCCAGCCCGATGTGCCTCTGCCCGGAGTCCAGCCCGATGTGCCTCTGCCCGGAGTCCAGCCCGATGTGCCTCTGCCCGGTGTGCCTCTGCCCGGTGTGCCTCTTCCCGGTGTGCCCCTGCCGGTGTGCCGCTGCCCGGAGTCCTGCCCGGTGTGCCGCTGCCCGGAGTCCTGCCCGGTGTGCCAGTCTTTGATATCCCGCCAGTTACCAGACCCGGGCGGTGGAACATTTTGCCCAGCTAGGACTGTTTGGAGCGTCCTGAGGCCGCTCCTTGAGGGGGGGGTACTGTCAGGAATATAAGGAATGTCAGGAAAATACTGGTGTATTTAAGGGACATTCAGACCTGCAGACTCTGCCTTGGTGTGTGTTTCTCCTGGGCCCTGTATCCTGTTCCTGCTCCCTGTTCCTGTCTGATTCTCTGCTGACCCTGCTCTGATCCCTGGCTTGTCTGACCATTCTCCTGCTCCTGATCCCTGGCTTGTCTGACCATTCTCCTCTGCCTCACCCTCTGTACCACGCTGCCCGCTACCTGCTGAACCTGGCTTGTGACCCCGACCATTCTCCGCTTGCTCCCCCTGTACCTACCTGCCCGATTGATATTGACCCGGCGCTTGCATTGTATGTACTGTTATCTGTGGGTGGTTGGTTTGGTTTGTTTGCACTGTGTTATGTTTTAGTATTGCACTGCGTTTATGTTTGTATGGTTAGTGTTAATAAATTACATTGTTTATAACATATCTGAAGTCTGCGTTTCCCTGCGTCAGTCACATACCTCTGGTCATACCCGGAGCCCTGACATCAGCCCTGTAACTACTACTACTGCAAAAAGGGATTTTGCCAACTCCTAAATTACTTGCTGCTACAATTTAAAGGGAAGTCCGCTATGTGCTTCAGCCAAGACTTCAACAGAGCTCAGCCAAGAGGTCAGCTAGATGTCCCCAATGTGAATAGGTCTGATTTTGGAGTATCCTACTAAATTACCCATCCCTATCCCCAGTTCCGCAATAAAACCTCCAAAACAAACATTGCCTAGGCTGGTCATTGAAGACAATGAGTGAAAGTGTGAGTGTACCTGTCTGTGGAAAATACCTTATGCCTGGATGTGAGCGATAAAAGGGGAAACCTGGGTAAAAATACAAGCGGCCCGCACGAGGGTGGCGCTACATTAATTTGAAAATAAATGTTACTAACAGAGCTCAGAGGCAGTTAGCCCTGCCAGGAAGCTGACAGTAGACGCAGGTTTTGGCCACCTAGACAGTCTACCAACATACTAGTGCTGGCCATATACATGACAGTTTTCTGATAATTTGGTGGCTTTTTCTCAGTTATTTGTTCCAACAGTTTCCTAGTTTCCAGTGACCAAATTATTGAAAACCAACTACACAGGCATTTTTGAATGATTTCCACCATGGCTTTTATTGTTTTGCCCCTTATTGTGGTTGAAAGCTGGATTAAAGCAACACAATTTTCAAGTGTATGACTAGCACTGGAGTCACTTCATGATTTAGAATCTCTTTTCACTGCTGTAGAATCAAAATATGAGGAGTGTCAGTTATTATTCCTGCATTCCCCAAAACATTGAAGGTAATGATCTTTTCCTTTCAGTTTCCTAAAATGATTTTAAAGTCTTGACTTTTGTAAAATAAAATATTAAAAATGTTATACATACAGTACCTGCTCTGTGCATAAGTACAAACCTCCTATTCTGGGTTTCCCCGCTAGCTCTGTCCCCCTCTCCTCTTCTGCGTGTGCCCCCAAAGCAATTTGCTTGTTATGGGGCAAACTTGCAGGCTCACTCGTGAGCTGGGCTGTGTGTGTCCATAGATGTACACAGCCCAGTTCAGCCCTACCCCTTGCTTCCTTCTTACTTGATTTGATTGACAGCAGCAGGAGCCAATAGCTCCCAACCACTTTAAAACAAAACAAACCAAGTTCCCTCTTTGAAGTTATTTGTGTATATTGCTGATGTTAACCAGGAAGAACAATACTTCAGTGTAAGCAGAGGATCTGTAATTTCTGTATATCTGTGAAATGTTGTTTTCATATGGCATCTTTGAGCGCTCTATAAGTTTAAAATCAACTATAAATGAATGTCTGTTTCTCTGAAGATTGTACAGTATTTGTACATTTGTTATTTCAAGTGTTATATTTGAACTGCATGCTGCTCTAGTAGTTTAAATTTAATTTTATGCTGAGCTGCCTCTGTTGAAAAATACAATCCTCTATAAATACATTGAAATATGCAATTCCGCTAAATGTGTCCTGTGTAAGACTTTCTGTAGCATTATGGTGGCTACACACACTTTGATTTTATTATCCAATTAATGTGCGATTTAATCAAAACAATCAAATCCACAATCTAAAAGCCATAATTTCCTTCCAGTTGATTAAGACTCTATTTAAAGCAGATTCCATGAAACAGAGTTCATCAGCCAGAGCTGAAAGGTATCAATCAATTTGAATCAATTGACAGTACTGAGTAGAGATGAGCAAATCGAACCTGGCGAAGTGGAATTCGTTTCGAATTTTAGGAAAAATTCGATTCGCATCGAATCCGAATATTAGCAAACTTCGGATGCGCGAATCGAATTTTTCCCGATCTGCCGATTTTCATCCCTTCTACAGCCGGCAAAAAGTGTCCCTGCAGAGAGCTCCGCTATTTCTGACAGTTCTCTGACAGTTCCTTCACATTTACAGCGGTTGAAACATTGTATCTATTTGTTTCCATTTAGGATATAGATGTTTTTATTCGGAAACAAATAGATACAATGTTTCAACCGCTGTAAATGTGAAGGAACTGTCAGAGAACTGTCAGAAATAGTGGAGCTCTCTGCAGATACACTTTTTGCTGGAATGGAATTCTTCTTCATCCTCATCCTACTTCTTCTTCTTCTTCTTCTTCATCCTCATCCTACTTCTTCCTCTTCTTCTTCTTCTTCTTCATCCTCATCCTACTTCTTCTTCTTCTTCTTCTCATTCTTCTTCTTCTTCTTCTTTTCATTCTTCTTCTTCTTCTTTTCATTCTTCTTTTCATTCTTCTTCTTCTTCTTTTCATTCTTCTTCTTTTCATTCTTCTTTTCATTCTTCTTCTTCTTCTTTTTTCATTCTTCTTCTTTTTTCATTCTTCTTCTTCTTCTTTTCATTCTTCTTCTTTTCATTCTTCTTCTTCTTCTTTTCATTCTTCTTCTTTTCATTCTTCTTCTTCTTCTTCTTTTCATTCTTCTTTTCATTCTTCTTCTTCTTCTTTTTCATTCTTCTTCTTTTCATTCTTCTTTTCATTCTTCTTCTTCTTCTTTTCATTCTTCTTCTTCTTCTTTTCATTCTCTTCTTCTTCTTCTTTTCATTCTTCTTCTTCTTTTCATTCTTCTTTTCATTCTTCTTCTTCTTCTTTTCATTCTTCTTCATCTTCTTCTTCATCTTCTTCGTTGTGCCCCGTGACTGCCCAAATGAGTGAAGTGTGCGGTGATTCTAAGATCGACGGCACTCATCTGCATGTCATACTGACTGACAGTATTATTTCTCTTCCCCAGCAGACTCCAAGGGCATTTAAATTAAAGGTACAGT